AAATGTCAAATAATTAGCTTTAAATGTTTACATTATATTGAAAATTAATAAATAATGAGTAGTCTGCTAATATATTCGGTTCTCGTCAAACACCCGACGAATAATAAGTAAAACCAGTCGAATGAGTGACATCATCTTCCTGTGCCGTCGCCTCTGAGGCCGTGTCCTTTGCAACTTGTGTTACGTATTGACAATAATTTACTGTTATTACATATTAACGAATATTAGATATCTATTACTATGGAGATATTGACTGGCAAGAAAGCAAGATAGTGAGAGTATCCATCAAAGTATTAAGTTTATAATTATGTAAAGGTTACCTCGAAATAGAACATGCAAGTGTGTACTATGGTATTTCATTTATTTCTAAAAACAATGCCTACTAATTAATATAAATAAATAAATGACTCAAAGTATGTAATGTATTTGTAACGCATGTACACAATTTAATTGATTTAACCTTCGTTATAATTGTAACTGTTTAATGTGAGAAATTAGACCAAAACAATGCAACTTCAAGATGAAACAAGATTGCAAAAACAACGAAATTTTTATTCAATTATACAAATGCATGTATTCACAGAAAAAAAAATGTTTTGATATATCAATGCCAGGATCTCGAAGCGCTGGTCAAATAACTCGAGTAAGGCGCGCATCATCAGTGATTATAAAAGTTGCAGTAATTTTATTGCAACGAGATGCAGTGGGAACCGGTTAGTTTTTTATTACGCAATTTGAAAGGAATTTTACCAGCAAATAAAAAAGTTTAAATATGTACCATTTATACGGTCCTGGAAACACACCTAATTTGGTTGGTGATATTGTTTTTAGATAGACTTTTATCGTAAGTGGCGCTTGCCAACAATGGCGTGGCCGGTTGTAGCGCGGTGTCCTTGCCATCTAGATGTTGTCCGCTGCGCTGTGTGGACCAACAAGATGGCGGGTCGGGATAGGGAGTTGCGCGGGGCGTCCGGGGCGGCCGGGACAGGTCCGGTGGCGCACATCGCCTGGCCCTGACTTGGAGCTCTATTTTTAGCGCTGTGTCACCGTTCGCTCGCCGTCCAAGCACCGAGCTGCGCGCCGTCAAGCGAATAAACGCAAACAACTTTGCTGTAAAAGAGCCCATCTTGAAATATGAGGTACTGCAACATATTACCCCATTGTTCGTGCGATGTATGCTCGTAGCCGCGGTGCTCTACCTTCAGGCGAATAATTACTTTTTACATTGTAACTTTTATAAATAAAGGTCTTCTTATACCTTATTCAATGTGCGATTTTTACATGTGTCTTTTTATATAAATTAAATAAATTTTGCGTATATGACCACTTTTTATTTACATAGCCCGTATTATTCCTTAAATCAGATGCAGAAGGGAATTGTTTGTAGTAAGTATAATATTGACTAATTAAACGCATATAGAGGCGGGTAAGAAAAGTGAATTATTTAGATCGGCTTTAAGTTTGCCATCAAACATTGCCCAAATAAGTTGTAGTAAACTTGTCTTAAGTGGAATTACGGTGATACATGTCAAACATAACTTAAATAATTTTTATTGTAGAGTTGGTACTCTCGAGTACATCTTCATATTGTGTATGGTTCGTGCTGTTCAAAGTTTCAGAGATAGCACGTAACAAGCTTATTTTGATGATTCAGATCACGGCAGTAGTCCTATGTAACAGTAAGCGAGTCGTCATGATGTCATTGGTATGCGCTAAGTACTGTCCAACGCACATATACCTCGCGCCCCGCACCGTATGACGTACGTTATGTAAGTAGGTAACTCCACCTGTAATTATTACAAGAAATTCATTTTAAAAGTCCATTAAGCTCTTATTTCTTTATAACTTTAACTTATATATTACTTACCCTAGTTTTATCCGAGTAAGAAGTACAGATATTGATAGAGAAGGTAAAGGTAATTCACTTAATTTATATTTAGGCTAGAAGACGTTAATTTTTTGAAATACCAAAATATAAGCCTGTTAGCGTACTGTGTGGTGCTGCTATCCGAGTTTTAGTTGCCATGCACCGGTTTTGCATATCTTGATACATAACAGTTTGCAAACTAAATTTGGTTATGTTAAAAACAATTTTTTATATAAAAATAGAGAAATGTTTATAATGAAATAAATCATAACTTAAGTCATATTATAAATGCAAATATTCTAAGTTATTTGCGCTTTCAAGAGATCTATATTAAAGATGAGTGGCTACGTTTTTACAGAAGATGTTTATAAACCTGTCGAAGTAACGGACGATATCCATATGTGAGTATGATGAACACTTATAGTACTTAGGACACGTTATATAAAAATAAAGAAATAAAGTTGTCACTTAACGTTGTAATCGTGCCCTTACCGTTACTAACATCAATGACAAAGATAAGCCACGGCAACGAACACATTTGGCCTATTTGAATTACAACGATTTTTTTACAACCATAGCGGAGTTGTTAGTGAAACTTATAACTGTATTGTACGTAGATACTGTATGACGGTATACTGTTTTTTCTAGTCATGTTGTAATTATAACTTTCGTTTAGCAGCCCACACGAGTAACGATTCTAGATGTCAAATGGTGTTGGCAGTGAAATAGCATCGAGTGTTGCCCACGCGGACTTCGTCAGAAGGACTCTGCCCACACCACAACGTTACGTAATTTTGTAATAACTTGTGCAATTTATGGACAATCAATTGACTTTCAAAATTAAGTGTTATTTCAATTGAAATTAGTCGACACAATTTTCAAGAAAACTGTTATTTTTGCTTTTCTTATATCTTTTTATGTATGAAAATACTGTAATTTTACGTGTATAAATTATCTCTACTTTTTCTTAACACTTGATCAATGTATATTTCGGTAACTAAAATTAAACTTTTCCTGTATGTATCGGGATCTTACAAAAACAAATTTAAAATAAAATGTAGGCGTAGATTGTCTCATAACTCTCTGACTAGCATTTACAATTAAGCATTTTGCTTAGTTTAAATTCTGTTAAAGTCAAAGTCAATAAACAAGTTTCCTATTTCCACACCTCCTCAAGTAAAATGATTCACAACTTACTTCTTGTTTCCATATTGTGTTCAAAGTGTTGTATATAATACATTATATATACCGGTTAATATTTACCGCAGACAGCGAGTATATGTGAAGTCGATCGCCTTGATATTTGGATGTTATTTCAATTTAAAATGTCACGTTGTGTCAGCGGGGCTGAGCTGCACACATCTCTCGCATTCACGTCGTGTTGCGACTTGCGACACGCGGAGAAAGTTGCAAAGCGATCTGGCGAAATCACACCCACAACCTCTTTGCCAAAACTTCGAGACAACCTCTCTGGTACAATGTCTTAAGAGGAACGATAAGTAAAAGTTGTTTTCGCATTATGTTCAATGTCCTACAAATGTAACGTGCAGTTTCCAACGCGTAATGATACAACAAAATCAATAAAATGTTAATTACATACTGATATATCAACATACTGAAAACCGACGATTTATGGTTAATATTATTTCTCATTTAGTGAAAACATTAACAAAGATATTATCCTTGTATCAACTAAATGATAAGTCGTAACTTAAATTATTATAAAGTGTTACGTGTGCTAAGCAATGGCAGAGTTGCGTGATGGCTGCGATTGTGGTGTGAGCCGACCGTGACACTGCGTAGGTCACGATAATGACTCGCATATGAACTAACACGGAGTTTCGGTGTGCGACGTTTCGTGGTTAGCACTCGCCCTCCCGTGTAACACCGTGACCGTTATCCGGTCACCGCTACAATGCACACGACTCTATAGTTATTTCGCACCTTGGTATATTACTGCTTAAGTTACACTGCCAAGTTCACTGATAAGAGAATTAAAATAGAAACAAATACAGCATACATACAATGATCGCGCTTGTCAAATTAGTGCTGCAACGGCTGGAATCAATACAGTGGTGAAATAGGTGGTCGATGGTCATTGATGACGGTCGTAACCGTTTTTCTTCAATTGTTTTTTAAAATGTGGGTCAAAAATAACGACATGAAAGTGATCTCCTAATTTATGATTACATTCTTATCATCAGCGAAAAAATTATGAACATCTTATACTATACATAAAATGTACAGTTTATCCGAAGCTGTAATGTGGAATTGTAGGTTAATATTTTTTGCTATAAGAACAAAAATTTCCATAAATATGGTGCATCTACTGAAAGTTACATTTACGCTTACTGATTGATAATTAAAAACTTACTACTAAACTACGAAATATTATGTTTTTAAAACATAGTAGTTATAATTAACATTAGCATAAGAAAAACGGAAAAAAAAATCGCCGTTATAGAATAGTGACAATTTTACGGCACGCGTTGATGTCTTAAATATAGAACAGGGAGCGGAGGTTAAGTTCAAGGATTTTTAGTAAAATTTTACGATACAAATCAACTTAAATACCGTTTTCTTACACAAACAACTAGTTATCATTAATGATGGTTTTGTAATGTACTAAATTTGTGGTAGATAATAAACTTAAAATATTGTTATAATTGCTATTTTGATAACACTGTTAATTATTAATGAGTTAAACTGTGATTTTAAAACAGTTTTGAAATAAACAAGATTGACCGTTGTTTATATAATTATACAAGTCATCATAACTGACAATTTTTCGAGTACAATTCGGTTTTTAAGTATAGATATCATCATCAACTTGCTCTTATCCCTTATGAAGGGTTGGCACAGTATGTGCTGCTCTTCCATACATCTCTATCAGCTGTCTTATCTGAATCAAGTATAGATATATAATTGGAAATTATTAATCCTCTAAGCGTTAATATGTATAGCCGATACCGGACATGCAAAAGCTCTATGATCGGGGAGGTGCGTCAGAGGGCGAGGCTTTGCGGGCACTGGCCGCGGCGGCGCGCGGGGCAGGCTTGGGGCTGTGGGGAGCTGCGGGGGCTGCGCGGGGCGTCGGGGAGGCGCGTGCACCGCAGCCTGCGAGCGCACTGCGCGCAGTCACAGTTCGGCCATCTATCTGGTCGTGCGTGCTAACACGACCGGCTTCGTCGCTACCCCACCTGTCGAGTGCCCGTTAAATGAACGGTTTGCTCCTAGTTTTGGAGTAGGTGAAGTGCTGTGATAGTGTGATTTTAGTCATACAATCGTATTGTGTATCACTAGAAAATTCGACTGTCGAAGGCGCGTTGCGAATTCCTCGGTGTAGTCTAACGGCTGTTCGCCTGACGGCGAGGGAAGGCGGATCGCTTCTACCGGGAGGAATGAGCCCCGTACACCACCGCTCCCGCACTCACCGATGATCTCAAGGTTGGTATCTGTGAGCTGCCGCCACTCCGCTGCGTCCGCGACTGCGCCCGCGCCGCGTGTCGTAACTTCTCACGGCACGACCCCTTCGACTGCACTCTACGCTCTATTCTGATCTCATTTAACATACATTCATTTCTTACAATAAAACTATACATTTCTAAATATTCGTAACCATAGTTATTTAGCTTACTACATTCTAATTTTCCTGTTACACATATTAAATTGATAATATTCTTATTGGATTTATCATTAATGTCAAGATTAAAACTTAGAACAATTTTGTTATTGAATCCAACAATTCTTAAGTAAAAATTTGTAAAACTTGTTAGTTAAATCTTTTCTGTTTACACTTTTTATTGGAAAACTATTTACGCACACTCACTTCAACAACTAGATGGCGTTAAACACTTTGCTTATGTAAGCCGGACCAGATACTTGTTACCATATACAGATTAACTATTTCGAAGTATTCTAAGGCAGCATCCGACGTCCATATTTGGTTTAAATTGTTAGGTATTCAATTAATTACGTAATTCACTTTATTTTTGAGTTTGATGACATACAAAAATTATGATTAAATTAACGAAGTAGGGATTTACAAACTATCTAAGTCAGTAAGAAAATACACAAAATTAAATCTATGTTTGTTGTACTAACTAAAAGTTTTTGTACTTTGGAAAAATAATTTGAAAGCCTGCTATTTAATTAAAAATTAATGGTTTATTTCTTTAATTGAAAGTTGTATACCAATAAACTATGCGATTTAAAATTTGTATATATGATTAAGATAAAATTCATATGTCATATCATAGATTACATTTTGTGTATTCTCTTACAGACTTAGATAGTTTGTAAATTCCTACTTCACTAATTTCTAAAGGAAAATAAATCTTTAAACAATAGACGAATTAGATGTATTGTGTGAAGTAGACTTTCACCTCTTTATTGGCATGAAAGAAAAATTACTTTTGCTAATTCTATATTTAGCTTCGCTTTTGTAAATAATAACACTTGTTAACATTAACACAAGAAGCAAGTATTTCTTTGATCCTGGCGAGAGGACAGGCGACATCTTTATATGTCTGCATTAGCATACTTCGTGCGGTGCATCTTTAAAAAGTAGTCTTTGTGTAAAGAATGAGTAAGAGAAACAACAATACATACCCGAGTAATGTATTCTTAAAGCATCTTTGATGTAGAAATGTCTGTTTCAACATATTTTCTTAAACAAGCGTATAAGATATCCGGGTATAGGTGAAGCTTTGCCAAGTCAATCTTTAACTGTATAAATAAACTTGTTAGCTGTTCCCGTGCAATTTCATCAGCATAAAATTATTTTATTGTTTACATGTGTCAAATTGTCAATTGCAAATGTCAAAATGATATGACATTATGACAGCCTTGCTTCCTTGATGTTGGCAGCAAATTATGGTCGTCTCTTTCCCACATTAGGCATTTTATCTAAAATATTTACCCCCTAAGTTTAATGGCGTGAAAATATATATCCTAAAGCGTGACGCAAGTGTAGGGCTTTTTATTAAAAAAATAATTATTCAAAAATATGCAACAAAGAAGTGTGTGGTTACGCTTTATTATAATAGTATAGATGAAACAATTTAAGTAGGAACATTTATTTAAATAGTTTGATAAGTGTATTATAAGCTGTAATATTTAGGTACTGTATATGTTTTGGTATGACTTCTACACTATTCTTGTAATCAAGTTTCACTTAAACTCAAGATGACTTGATTTCAAATTCTATCCACACTTGTATTTGGCAATCCACAATTGTGATTTTCCTTCCACTGACCTTACCTGTATATCTCTTACGATGTTTAAATACATAAAAGAATTGATATCAAGAAAATATCGCATTTGATCAGTGGAAATGATGATCATTTAAGTTTTTGAATTTACCTTAAGCCCTTGTCGTTTAAAGGCATGAAACTCGACAAGAGAAAAAGAATAAAAAAGTAATTAGAAACTAAATCGTAAACGACCGTCTCTAGTAAAACAATGATATCTTCACAGTACACCTTTAGTATAACAGTAAACGGCTGCTAAGTTTCATGGTTGGTGAAGTTAACGGGAGACCCAATTACTGGTGATGAGACATTCCATATTAGTTCACACAACTACGTTCACAACACAACTGGGCTAAGGAAGGCTCGGTAGTTTTAGGTAATTAGTAGGTATGTTTACAAGACAATAGTTTTTGAAAAGTAAAAACTTGATAATCAAGTACATTTATGAATTAAAAGTCAAAAAGTAAATCTTATTACAACAAATCTTATTATATATAAAAAAATAATATAACGATATAGCTTCGTTAAACGAACTACAATCGAAATTGGTTGTAATAAAACTATGAATTTAGATTCAAGGGAATTACAACATTCCTTCGTTTTACGGCAAATATATTAGAATATGGGTTAGTATACGTCCATATATCTTTATAATTTTCTTCTAATTTAAATTCTTTAGCTTACTTATTTGAGTCATAACCAACTGTATCTAAAGTAACAAGTTTTATGATGTTAATTTACATATTTTTAATTATTCTAACAACCGGTTTAAAGTTCTATTCATAAGTAAGTTTCGTGTTTGAATTGAATTCGCGAATATTCACCGTAGACGTTTATTACTTATTTTTAAATATAAATAGTGTAATGGCATCAACACTACATGTATCAACTTCTAAAGTATCAAGTTACTAGTAAGATTTTATTTATTTAGTTACAATAAGGTAGAGTTTGAGATTGTGCTACAAAATGGTCAAACCAAGAAATGTATACCTCAAGGCTTCTTTGTTCTCAACGCAATCTATTCCCACAAAGCGGTTAATTGTAATTGTAATCAACAACTGATCAAAAAGGTTTTCCTTCAGCATTTCGACACAGACATTATCTCACCGCACGCTGAGACTTGATCAATTAAATACAATTTATGCTGTACTTTTAATAGGAATGTTTAATAAAAGATTTTGCAATAAAATTGATTTGCAAAAGTGCCAAGCACCAAAAGCCTAATGGTTTGGGGTACCCACTACCGATCTTGCGGGTCGATGATTCGAATCCTGGCCTAGAGCTTAGTTGGAATGGTTAAACGAAATATTAGTAAATCAACAAAAATCTACTAACATATTTATAAAAAAAAATAGTAAGTCCCACCTTGTTCCTAAAGCTCATTATTATTACAGTTTTCAAGTACTGTTTAATAACTATTAATGTTGGAAAACTTTTCTTACGGTAGTCAATGTTAATTTGAATCATAAGAACTTGAACTTCCGACATACTTGCATACATATGCATAACTGTTTAAATTTCGAGATACAAATACGAGTATATAAATGAAAGTTGAAATCTACAATTATTTAATGGTTGAGAAACCAACCTTGTAGTCGTCGTAGTTCAACTATTACTACCATATCCTAGCAAAAACTTGCAGTTTATTCGGCATGGATAGAATAATTGAAAAATCTGCATTTTGACGCAAAACAGTAAAAAAAAAGATTCGTATCCACTGGGTTCGGCAACATATGGCACAGAATGATATGCCATTGGGTACACCTGTCACGGACTGTGGGCGCCCAAGCCGGCGGACGGCCACCGCGCCGTTATGTCATTCCATACCACTATAATAATAAAAGACATACCATATTCTAACAGATGATTCATGTACCGTACGTTATATTGTGCACATACTTGCTTTGATTAAGTCTACATAATGCTATATCAATTTAAAAAAGTACTAAAAAAGTTGGCAGTACTTTTATGACATATGTTTAATTTGAAAATAATGGTGTGCGAAATATTTATATAAGATTTAAAAAAGTTTGATTAATTTGTCCCTCGGCTTTAAAGCACAACCTTACGTTAGCGGTCTGACGTGTTTGCTACCAATGTTCCGCAAGTGACAACCTTGATTTTTACTGTTGTTTTTGTTTTGTTTTCATATAATAAACTATACTATGTATTCTATAAACGTATAATCAGGGTTAACTCACACAACTTGTTTCATTTATTATTTACCGAGTTAATAAAATTACCATTCACTTGGTAAATGAAAGTGCAATAAATGTTTGGAATTTTTTAGTCCGAGCTGTTCACAGCAAGCGTGACGGTTTGCCTTCACACAAGACATTGGCTCTTCAATAAAACTCAATTATCGTTAGTAATTTGTGATAAAGAGGATCGATTAAACAATCAAATATTTCAAACAACGTTTTTAGTTATACACATAATTACCGTCACGCATGCCGCCTAATTACATATTTGTGGTTCTTGGTTTTAATTTATAATACGTCAAACATATCAAGTAAATGATCACTCATTTTAAATTCTACCTTGCATTTTTTAATTAAATTTAATTTGCAGTTCTGTATGTTGATGTAATTCCCTCATTAGATTTTGATACTGAATGTAAAATTTTGTGCCACAAATGTTTTAAGTCTGGAATAATTAATTTTTATGTCTATGTTACTTTTTTTGTAGAAAATGAGATAATCTGAACTAAACAATTTTTACGTTAAAACTTCTCATTTTGAAAAGATTTATCTTAATTTTTTTGGTCTAATGTAATACATATTTAAAATATGAAATGAAAACATATTTATTTTTGTCAAAATTATGTAAAATTCCATGAATATTGTTTTGATTGTGATATATTTTCTATTTTCCTGGAGTTAATTTGCCCTTTACTTGTTGTTATGTAAAAAATATCCTTTAAGTATTTTTAGTACACATATGTTAAAAAGATATAAAATAAAAATAACAAATACAAATATAGGCCTTGCTATATGCCGTACTTAAAGTCACTTCACGTTTTACTTAAAGGTTCTTCTATGTAATCACGACTGAAATGTTTTATAAAACCTTATACTCATACATATATGTAGATACTTCCGTGAAATGACGCATAAATTAATTTCCTGTTCGATTTTATTTAAAATAGTTACATAAATGCATTCTTTTGCATCTTGTTTATTTAATCGACTTACG